CATGCGAATGACCTGATCGCAGGTTCAATTGGTGGAACTGCTGGAAGCCTCGTTAGTAGAGATACTCCGATGGATGTCGTCAAGTCCCGCATCCCATACAGCCCAAAGACTGCTGGGTCAGTGCCAAAGTACAACTGGGCATGGCCAGCTCTAGGCACCATTATGAGGGAAGAAGGTTTCGGGGCCCTTTATAAGGGATTCACTCCTAAGGTGCTAAGACTTGGTCCCGGTGGAGGAATTCTACTTGTTGTTTTCACCACTGTCACAGACTTCTTTCGGAAGTTGAGAGGGGAGTAAATATGAGTTGTATCTCTCATTTGACCCTCTTTCTCCCTTACCGTGACGACCGAATTCGCAAATGTTTTGGAATTTTACTGGGACAGACGCCGTCCCAGCGAGTTCGCCTTTTAAGACAATATAGAGGAGCGGTGGTGGGGGTTGGCTTAAAAACACACCTTGGACGAAGTCAGGGCTTCCATATCTATGCAGCCGCTGCTGCCGTTGAGCTTTCTTGGTTTCCCCTCAACCACACCCGACTTTCCCGAAACACCGCTACAACAAGAAAACATATCCATATCTCTCAATATATCATTCAATTCTTACATCGTGATATTGTTCCTGCTTCAGACATTCCTCATATAGACTTTTCACTTTGTCTCCACATCCTTCATTCTCCCCTTCTTCTTCCTCTTCTTCCACTTTGTCGTTTTGTCAACTGGGTCAGCTTACTTCATCTCGGCATAACTGATCGTCATATTTTGCTTAGCTGGCCTTTTCAAAGAAATATCGTTATTGGCTTTGGACTTGAAAAATAGCCCAGTCTGACAATTTTGGAGTGCTCTACGACAAGTACCAGGATCGGATTGCTCATGAGAGAAAGTGTCTTTGGTCATTTCTCATTCAAGCCCTTTTCCTGCGCGTATTTGTCTGCGTGTGTTAACATTCAGTCCCAAGAAGAGATATATCGTTACATATATATAGATCGCAAAAGCAGAACCTCAACAGCAAAAGAGCAAGCTAAACCACACAGAGACTAGATAAGAATAAAGCTTGCGCCTGAAATGGGATTTTTTTTTCTCCCCACATATACTCCGTAGTTCTACATAATTTCGTCATCGTGCTCTCCAAAGCGCCCCTCTCCCTTCAAACCCAGCAGCCCCACTCTATACCCAACAAACCGACCATGATTCCATGCAAGACGATAATCAACTTCAATCATCCCTGCGTCCATCACCACCAGTGCTAGCACTATCCCGTCCGTCCTCATACACAGTAAACTAGATTCTCCAAGTGTGAACAAAAACAAAGCATGTTTATTCCATCAACAGCACATGTCGCGCGTAGACACAGCCTTAAGAAACGCACAGAAACAACACGGGCGCAATGCCAGAGCAAAGCAAAGCAACAGCACAGCACAGCAACAGCCCAAGCACCGCCCCTCTATCCCCTCTGTATTCTCTGCTCACCCCCCTGCATCTTCACCGGGATCAACGAGAAATAATCCGGGAAGACCAAAGCACCCATGCAGTCAAAATCAAAAGCTAGGAAACACGGCATAATCATATAAAAACGGCCCGTTGTATGTACTGTACAGCACGGTACCCCCATCGGTCCATACCACAAATTCGTATCAAAGGCAAAGAAAAAAAGCCGGAAAAAAAAAAAAAAAAAAAAAAAAAAAAAAAAAAAAAGGAAGCAGAAGAAGAACCACAGTATGAATGGTCGCTCGAAGACCCCCATCATTATTTCGCTTCAGGCGTCCAATAGATAATTCTAAAATTTAAACTTCATATGAAGGATTCTAGAAGATGGGAAACAACTTTATCGCTTACCGACCTAGAAGCAAAGAAGAATAAGCATGACGGTTCCTAGAAAATCCAGGATTTTTTTTATTAAAAAAACTCAACGGGTTTCAATTTTCAAGGTAAAAGATTTATCCAATTCTTGCCTTCACCGCTCAT